AACGAAAAATCCGTCGTCAATTCAGTGTATAAATAACGGAATAACAATAGGTATGATAAACGAAAGTCAGCATTTGACTAAATAATAGATTGTATTTGCTGACAAGGTCATTGTATTGACTATATAACCTACAAAAAGATGACTTTAAACGAGAAAGAACTATTATTAATTGATTCTACGTTGTCTATATATCTAAATGTCGTGTAAAATGCCACAGCAATTTCTTTCTCTTTCTAATTGATAAAATATAAATTCTGCTTGATAGGAAAAGAAATATGTGTCTGCTCATAACAGGTCACCATTGGTACCAATGAGAATTCAAACAGATTATATTTAATATCAACTTCAAAGTATTTGTGTGTGCAATCTGAATTTTTAAAACAAATTAAATAAAATATATAGTGACAAGAAACTGTATTTAAGCTCAAAATTCCATTAAACAATACAAAATAAAAGCAAAGCGATCACAGACCCCCAAAACAACAAAAGTGGGATCAGGTGCCATGGTGGAGTGAGCATCACCTGCTGATCGGTAACACCAGGTATATTATACCCTTTATTTCAGTGCTCCAATAGTTAAAATAATTCGCTGCGGTTTTTTAGCCATCCGTTAGAAAGGTCCAAGAACAAAGTCGATGTCGATATCGACGACATCGACAATGTTATGTCGATATCGTATCGATAATAATGAGCACTGTTAATTTGAAATACTTTGTACCATATGTGAGACTTTGTGCTATGTCGATATCGACGATATCGACAATAACATGACGATTTCGTATCGATATCGATCATATTTGTAGAATTTATTTTCACAATGATGTATAACATAATTTTACAAGGTTACAAGTGATGTCAAATTCATTCATTATTAGCATCAATATCAATTAAAATTATGATTAGGAAAGGGTTAGTGGTTGTTATTGTTTTAGATTAGGTTCAGAGTAAGATGTTCGGTGAGGGTGAAAGTTGTTAAATATGTTTTAACATTCATGATTCGATATCGATACGATATCGTCGATATCGACGATATCGACAGTAGGGTAAACTGATTAATCAGAAAGTAAATAGGCACAAGCGTTGCATGAAGAAACAGAACTTATTGTCATGGGATATGTTAAAAATAAAAATTTTGTATTTAATACAAAATTCATGATTAATTAGTTCACAACTATATTATTTCGTTGAACTTGTGAAATATCTCACGCCATTACATCTATATAAACCGAAATCCCAGTATTTAGGGTGATGGTTGGTTAAGTAATATATTTTAACAATCATGATTCGATATCGATACGATGTCGTCGATATCGACGATATCGATGGCAGATACAATGTTCGTAAAAGTAAAGTGATTAAACATAAATACACATGCAAACGGTATTTACAAAGAGCTGAGCAAACATGATTCGATATCGAAGCGACATCGTCGATATCGACGATATCGACACTACAGGGAAAGTTTTATAAAAGATAGTTTTCAAGTAACACATGTTAATACAATACTAGTATTGTAGGTGGAAACCATAATTCTTTAAGCAATCATGATTCGATATCGGCACGATATCATGGTTATTGACGGTAAGGAAGACTTCTTAAAACAGAAAGATTTGTAATAAACACAGAAGGATAGAGAAATATTATAGTTAACTATAAAAAAGTAATGTGTCGATATCGTAACTACATCGTATCTTGGACATAACCCCAGACGACACGTTTCTCAAAAATATATAACTTTTCCTAAGAAGACTTGAAATTGTCATTGAAGTTTATCTACTTGAAGAAATTTCCTCACAAAAACTTAGGGTACCTTACCAGGCATTTGGACAAGATACCCTAGGGTCACATTTCTTATATAACCCTTATAGGTAATTTTCTGAATGGCCTATATTACAAGTTTTGGTGTACTTCTATTTAAAAACATTTTGAAAACTATGTAGAAATCAGAGGAGAATGACAAATATGAATATTTCTTTATGCAATACTAAGAGATACAAATCATATTTTTTGAGGAACGTGTCATCTGACCCTAAAGTAGCAATACTTCAATGATAAATTTGTAAAAAAAAAAAAATATGTATTATTGAAGAAAGTGTCACCTGGTCTTGTAGAAAAAAAAATTAGATCATAATACATGTAATTACAAAATACTTTTTGACAATTTCCGGTTTGATTCAGACTTTTAGGTCGTCATCGCTGGTTAAGTTTAGAAGCCACGAAACTCTATACTTTATTTCAAACACCACAGGTGTTTCTGACGGATTTTTTAGTTTTCAATTCTATTTAAGAACATTTGTCCAAATTGTATTATTCAAAAGTGTTCATGGTAATTGCTTATTTTTTTTTTATAAATTGTCTTCCAGTGTCAACCAATAGTGACGTATGCAAAAATAAAAGGCATATAGCATATGATACCCCCCGTAAATTAAAGAGCTAATTTTTTCCTGTTTTTTTTTTAAATTTCATTTCTAGGTTCTTAAGAAAATGCGTAGGGAAATTGACAATTTTAAAAAAATTGAAAATCGGACAAAAATGTCAACGGATATGATTTACCTAAAAATAAAAAAAAAAATACTTTGGAAGAAATAATAAAAAAAATTCATCGTTCTTGGAAAATAAAATCATCTTAATAGGTCGGATATTTTCCGAGAAATAGATTGTTATGAAAAGGGAATGATAATTATACTAGGAAACAGAAGAGAAACAGTTCTTCGGAAAATGCTGAAAAGTTCTAAAAGACCAAACTCAGATTGCATGAAAAAGGACTTTTAACATTTATTTTAAACATTTATTTATTATCAAGGTAGTCAAATTCAAAACCATGATATATATCCTCGGTTTTAAGTTTCGCTCGAAATACACATGCCTTGTGCTGGTCGCTTGGTAAAGTAATGAAACAAATATACACTAGACAAAATTGCTAACGCACCACCCAAGATAATTGATATTTTTCTTTTAAAAAGACCTGCTTATGATATATTTGATACATAAATATGTTACTTTTATAAAAAATAGGGCATATTAATGTCAAATCTTATAAGTAACTAAAAATATTTACTGAAGTGTGACCAATTCATAAAAAATCAAAATCGTGTCTGTTCCATTTTCGAAGATTTTTTTTTTTGCTTTTTTGTTTGTTTTATTTATGGTCTTTACATTTTTACTAATTAAAAACACTGAAAAAAAAAAGTTAAACTGTGTGCGGCATTTGACGCTAGAAGAGTGTGCTATAGCAGACAGTATGGCGGCTGCAGGGGGCTTTTTAAGAGGAATCTATAAAAAATGAAAACAATAAAAAGCTTATGAATTCCATTCATGAAAAATTGTTGCAAATAAATTAACAAACATAAATGTTTACTATCGATAGCCACGGCATTAAATAAGCGGCATACAATTAGTTGAAAATAGTTCCACAAAACTGGGTCAACCGGAAGTTGAGTGGATATGGGATGGACACTAAGGCACCAGAGGATTACTAAGCAATATGGGAGTCAATGGCTGTTTAATATTTGATTTTTAACTAAGGGACTACTCCTGTGGCAACCTCACAGACCAGTAATCAAGAATTTCATATCTGGGCACAAATGGTACGCAGTGCACAGATGGAAATTGGTTTTCGGTCAAAAAAATTATTCAAGGGTCTTTTCATGATACCAAGACATTTGTCAATTCCACTGTTTTTTTAAAATAGTTGCATATTATTTACACTTATACCGATCTGGCAAACGTTCAATTCGCAAATCAGAATTAACAAGTGGTGCGTTAGCAATTTTGTCTAGTGTAGAGATAACGAACAGTATTCAAGATCAAAAGTCTATAAAACAACACAAATTAAGAGCAGAGCAAACACGGGCCTCCAAAACATCAAATGGGATCAGGTACCATGGAGGAGTGAGCATCCCCTGCCGACCTGTCACACCCGCCGTGTTTTCCTTGTCATGATCGGGAAACACGGACAAATCCGTGGCAATGGCAACATCTTACATTTAAGTGAAACTAACTCGATACCTTCCGATCACAAAAATAGCGCTTTACTACTAGGTTAGATCGATCATATGTGTCTTTATTTATGATTATCACACAACACTCATATAATAAAAACAGGAATTTGATTATGAAGAGTGTTCAGAAATTTCATAAATGAAAGCCCTTCACTATTATAATTCTATATTATCTATAATGTAACATTATAAAATTTTGCTTATACATGTACGCATGATTGTATATATTGCGAATTTTTGAGGGTCAATGGTGCATTTTGAATTAAAAAAAGGGTTTGGTTTATTTAAAGCATTTTAACGAGGCCCGATCTAGCTGGAAATCACGAAAACGGACTTTTGAGTTTGAATACTGTTACTGTTAGTTACATCTATTTATTTAATTTTCATCCTTTTTAATTCGCAGAGCCCCAAGAATATTTAATATAAATTAAATTGTGGATTCGGAATATCCACTTAAAATTTACACCATGGAAAAAATGACACAACAATACGACTTGCAATTCTGATCGAAAGATATGCATGTAATTGAATTCTTTTTTAACACCAGAAAGATCGAATATTGTATCTATTAATTTTGATTTGTTGTCGTCAAGTGAGCTTAATGATACCAATTGATATTCTAAACTAATTACTGTAAACGTTGCACTTCCATGAAATAAAAATCATTTTGAAATTTTGCACCTTATTATGTAATCTTATTCGATCATCATGTAATGAATAAATTACGTTAAGATATCCTTTGTGTTCATTTAAAGATTATAAAACGTATTCCTTGACTGCACTATTTATAACCTTTCTGGTCTATTACGCATAAATATGTTCTTGCTTGGCATTGCTAAACATGTTTGTTCTTCTTACAATTATTATTATATATATTTTTTTAAATTGGCGCTGTCTTGACCTTGATCTACAAAAGCGCTGAAAAGGTTCCCGGAAAAAGACCATATGAAGATTTTCCGAGAATTTTGCACTAGTGCTAGTAAATGTGCACCACATGCATATATAAACCTTATTGAAATAGAGAGACTAAATAAACTGCATAATACGCATCAAATAAATATACCTATCAGAAAGACCATGTTGTCTTTAAAATGTTTGCTGGCGTATTGGATATTGTTGTTCTTTGTTTTCCGCTGCATTGTTCCTAGTTTAGGCGTCAGTTGTAAGGGGTTTGGGCACCACAATCCTCCCGATGATTGGTAAATATGTACAGTGTATATTTCTCTTTTTTATGAATGAATTTACTTTATATATAAACACATATTTGAGGAATTACTGTATATTTTTTGTTTAGTTTCTTAATGTAATCTTGCGTGATAATTTGTATCAACACCGAAGGTGTTTATGCATAAAATTTTCGCGCAACCCAATCGATTGATCATCGTCATGAAAACAAAACAATCGGACACTTATTTCTTATATTTACATGCTCTTGATTCCACAAATTCACGTGCTACAAGCCCCGCTTCTTTCTCTATTTGACCCACCCTGCACGTGATTTTTTTTAACAACGACTATCGATGAACTAGTAGATTTATATAGAAAGAAAGTAATTTTAATATTTTTATTTTATCTCTGAGAAATAATGGAAATGTAAACAATAGAGATATATAAATTAAAGCGAATACAGTTTCAACATAAATGTTACTTTCGCTGTAGTTTTATTTGCTAGTATTTTTTATGCGCCCGAAACGAAATATCCGATGCGTATATTGTTTTTGTCCTGTCTGTCTGTCTGTTTGACTTTAACCTTTGCCATAACTTTTGAACCATGAATGACAGACACTTCATATTTAATATGCATACTCCACTTATTAAGCTCTTTCAAATGACATCAAGGTTAATGACCTTGTGACCTTGACTGTGACCTATATGCTAAAAATAGTTTATTTCTGCAAACTTTAACCTTTACCATAATTTTGAACCATGAAAGATAGAGACTTCATATTTGGTATGCATACATCACTGATTAAGTTCTTTTAAATGATACTAAGGTCAATGAACTTGTGACCTTGACTGTGTCCTATATGCTAAAAATAGCTTTTTCAAACCTTCACAATAACTTTTGAACCATGCGAGATAGAAACTTCATTGGCATGCATATTTCACTAATCAAGTTCTTTCAAATGACACCAAGATCAATGACCTTGTGATCTAGACTGTAACCTATAAGCTAAAAATATGTTTTTTAACTTTGTTGTCGCCGGCCAAATAGTGTTTCACAAACACATCTTGTTTTATCTTACAATTGAAATGCGGTTTCAGGTTTGTTCTGTACAAACTTCCCAGGAAAATAAATGATGAGAATAGACTTGTTCAGAAGGGAAACGCCTTTATTTACATGACCTCAAATCAGCAGAAGTGGGCGTTTTCTGAAATTGGAATTGATGAAAAATACACACCAATATACAATACACTCCAACAAATATATGTAAGTTGGTTAATAATCTGAAATGCATATATAAAAGAAATGTGTTGTCTCATGCTTAATTATTCATTACCAACATGAGAGTTTTTCTTGAAGGTATCATTTTTACAAAGTTTTTAAAAATATGATACTTGTAGAAATAATGCAATGATGAATGTTTTGCTGTGTTCTTTTATGCAAATTTAAGTTCAAAGCATCAACAATATATTTATAATTTTGTTAAAGTATTACAAGAATGAAGATAAATTTCGGACATTTATCTACAAGCTCTGCTGATGCAAATGTCTTACTTATATTTACATTTGTATATCTTTTCTGTGATAACTATTTAAAAGTAAAACGATTTCTTAGTAATATATCCTCATTGTAAATTTTGTAAAGTAAAAGGTAAGTGCTTGATATGCATATCGTCTTGTGAGGTTGTCTTTGCGTCTTAGGTCAGTTAGCGGAGACTATTGGACTACACATGGGAACCCTCTTGTTTTTTTAACCAAGTTCACAAAGTAGACAACATTTTGTATCTACAAGTCTATGTCATATATAAATATAAAAATAAGAAATCATTATCTAATAATTTATTTGGTATGCAAAATACATTAACGATAGTTGAGATAATTTATGCATTACGGACTTTACGTTATGCAAATTATATCCCATTTCCAACTATAATTGATACACAGGATGGTGAAACTGACTTGCAATCAGAATGTAACTGTTCTAAAAATAAATTAATTTATTTCCAAATGTGCAAATAAACCCCTTTTTGAATCAAAATTGAAACATATTTTAAGTTTGATCTGCTTGAGAATAATTTAGTACAACATGGAGATTTTGACTTAAGCGTAGGAAGTTTCTTGATCCTGGGACCTAATATTCTTCAACAAACCAGATAGGGATTCCTTAAATAATGTACACGGCACAAAGAATATACTATTGGAAACAATATACAACCTTATTTATATTTCTTTTGCAAACACTTGCCAATATTAAAATTCAACTTAAGGTAAATATCTACATTGTATGATAAACAATTATAAGAAATATCCTAAAACAACATTCTATAATCAAATTGAATGTTGAATTTCTATTCTTAGGATCGGCCTAATAACTCAGGGTTAGACTTTGGAATGTATAATGACCAACCTCCAAATACGGAAAGAGTTGCAACCATAGCAGGACAAACGAAAGGTTTGGATGCTTTCTGTTATCAAGCTAAACAACCATCGCTTACTGTGAAATCATCAATTTTTCGAGGGTTTAATTTTAGTGGTTTTCAAGGTATGAAGATAAAGGGTTTTTTCACAGATATAATTACACAATAATCCCCCATCCACGAGATAAAATCTCCAAACCACGAAAATTTGACAGCAAGAAAATATGGGATTTTACGGTATTTCACATTTGTCTCAGATGATATGTATCTTTTATTTATCTAACTCGTAAGGTATTAAATATAAGGTGTGACTTTAATATGGAAATATATTTTTTATTTAATCTTAAAGAAAACTCATTAACAATATTTCTGACATATTTTATCAACAAACATACCGTCCGTTAATTTTTTTCAGGTGCGTTTGCTTTTGATGAACTTGGAGGCTTTTGGATGATTACAAGTACTCCTCGTTTCCCGATGCCCCACAATTCAAAAAACACTTATGTTTTTCCAGAGAGGTTTTTGGAGAGCAGTCAAATAATCTTCTGTCTATCACTGGACAAGGATCAGAAACAAACATTGAAGAGTAAGGAGAAATATTTATATTAGCTAATTGTAAAATCATTTGAAGAGTTAAACACAAATACTTTTCATTAAACTAATTGACAAGCATAGATGATTAGTAATTACTTTGTCTCAAGTTAATCGGTTAAAAATATCACTGTTATCTTGTGTGCTTCTCCTAAAGATTTAAATACTTGCACCTACATACCACCATATTGTCAATTTAAAAAAAACAAAACAAAAATAATAATCAAATTTAGTTTTTAATGTCTATGCAACTTTTACATTTCAGATTCAATCTTTCGAGTGACAATACCGTATAACTATAGTGGTGTTTGGGATATCCCCGAAAGAACTCCACCCTCATCAGATATAATGAGTATTCATTATAATGCTTTTATTGCGATTTTAATACAAATTTTCTGTCTCTGGGTGATAAGCATTGATAAAATAAAAGCTTATATGATCTCAATTGTATTACAAATTTAAAAATATTTGGTTTTTTTTGCATTTACATTTATATACACATATGTTTTCAATAATTTTTAAACAATGTTTTAGTTGAAAATGTGGGAACGGGATACATTTACTTTACAAAGCATAGAAGAACTGAAAAAGGTACAATTTTTTTTTTCAAAATACTGGTGAATATTTTTTCTCTACTATGATAATGTCTGTATATGTGTATCATTTTCCAATTGCCTATTTCACACCCTAAATCGCTTGCAAATTATCTAGTGAACAAAACTTTGCTGGATGATTGGATTTCATCCTTTTTTATGGACGGTTACCGACTGCAAACAAGTACAAGCAAACAATAACCGATAAAATGCATATATATTAAATTAAAAAAAAAGAATAGAGCGGATTGTTGAAAAAGGGATCCTTTCTTTAGAAAGAAAAATAATGTTTTATTATAGTATGTTCTTAAAGCATTGAAATGATGTGCTTCTAAATTACCTTCTTATAAAATTTGCTGAAAGTTTTTTCACTATGGATAACAGATTTACCTTTCCAATTCAAACATGCGCAATTTTGATTATTAATCTGAACACTTCTAGTATTTCTCATTTTATTTTAGTTTTCATTCACACAATTAATATTGAATTGTAGAGATTTTACACCTTGAAATCTCAAAAAGCTCTATATGAAATAAAGTGAAATAATTCCAATCTTCATTGTATCTATTGAATTCCTGTGTTTTGATTGGACGAGAACACGTTTAAGAAAATTTTTACACATCGATAAATTTTTTTTTCAATCAGAACTACTTTTTTGACTAAGCTTCTACATGTAGTTTATCGTATAAACAACGAAAGCAGTTATTTATTGTCTGTTTTGGATAAATTATAAATACAAGAAACTTCAAATTTAATTAATTAAAACAAAACTGGTGACATGCTAGGCTGCCCAGCTGACGGACGCCATGAAAATGTTAATGTCACTGTTCGATCACGAGTGTGAATTTTAAAAATCGCTGTCTCAACGTTCATAATACGAAGATAATCAACTCAGTTTGTATCGTTTAGACAGGGAAAAGAAACATACATGTACCTCAAACTCTTGCCCTATAAGCATCAAATTCATACTTACTTTCTATATTGTTCCTCAATCTTTGAACAAACAAGTGCAAATCGAAGGCCTCGTCTGTCTGCAACTTTCGCTATGAGAGTTGTCGTTTATGTCAACATGGCCATGGTCAAGGACGAACTATTCTGAAGTAAACTCGTAATTACGATATTTGTTGACTTAAACAACATTCGATAAGTCTTTATAAGTTTATTTATCGATTGTTTTGACAATTTAAGTTGAACTCTATCGAAATTCATCTCGATTACGTTCCTTTGCGGTAAAATGTATTCCTACGCCGTCCAGAACTAATGGATTGTATGGAGGCCTCAAAGAGAAATAATTTGAATATTTTTAAAAATTCGATATTGGAATTATAACAATTAAACGTTCTTTTTGAAAAATTTATCGATGTGTAAACTCTTGACATTTTACTCACAAACTTAACATAAAAGTGCTTCGCACTTTTATTCAGTTTGTGAGTAAAATGTCAAGAGTTTACACATCGATAAATTTTTCAAAAAGAACGTTTAATCCTATAATAACAAACAATTTTCTGGCTCAAAAGTCCATAAAACAATACAAAACAAGAGGAGAGCAAACACTGAAAAATCCTTGATCTATTCAGTGTGTAAATAATGGACCAACAATTAGTTTGAAAAACGTCAGTCAGCATTGGACTCAATGATAATTTTAAATTGTATTTGCTGACAAGCTCATTGCATCACCATAGAACTTACAAAATGATGTTTGTAAAAGAGACTGCTGATAAAATAAAGTGTCATAGTACATTAAGATAACAAATTATTTAATATAGTTAACTTTCTTCAATTTCATGCCTTAGTATCATGAGTAGGGCCCCATTGTATCCGTTAGTGAAATATGCATTGTATTCATTCAATAAACACTTTTTCATTATTATGTACTCGACAAATCAACATCATATCGTTCCTACTTATTCTAAATTTTTCAGATGTTTTTGAGTTCGCCAGGCGTAGATTAAGTCGCAGGGAAATGACGGTTCATACGACACCTAGAACTTCAGCTGAGTTAAAAAATAATCGAGTAAATTTTCGTTTTCTAATGGACATATAATCTGTATGTATACGTATGTTAAAGGAGGTGGTGGTGGATGTGTAGGTGTATAGGTGTGAGAGGGTTTGTATGAGAGAGAGAGAGAGAGAGAGAGAGAGAGAGAGAGAGAGAGAGAGAGAGAGAGAGAGAGAGAGAGAATCTTTATTGTGAATTATCATTCATGAAAGTATTTCAATTGCGATAATAAACAGAAAACTAATTTCTTTTAAACTTTTACAGATGCGTCAAGTAAGACTGCTAACGTTCATGCTGCCACTGCCAAATCCTCATGTATTACAATGGATGTCTTCATCTGACAGCTCAAAGTGGGCGGTGACAAAGGATTTCATATGCATTGGAGATCTTAACAGAAATGTAATTTTATAACTGGCAAATACTCCATATCGTTATTGACTAAAGAGAAGAGAAGACTACATTGATTGAGTAATCATTATTTTCAAAGTAATTTTGTAAATTTGTTTTGCTGATCTGAAACATTTTATAAAAACGGTAATTAATTTATTAAAGGAGCAACAATTAAGCCGAGGAGGGGGACTCCTTTGTATGAGGAACCACGAAGTTGCAGCCCAGTTCGAATCTCTGGTAGCATGTTCTTCTGTACTGAATGAAGATGTTTCGTATGTAGGTTACGTGGTTGAAGCTGTAGCAGATATGTTCGTATGTTGTTTCTGGTCATACAACTACTATGAAGATAGGTAATTATTTTGAGTATGCTTCAAGTAAACAGACAGATATTTTTATTTTAATAAGATATGGAATCACTGTCGAGTGTGTTGGGTACATGTATGTAAGGGAAAATCAATTTAAGAAATTGTGCAAATCCCGTTATATATAAATTCCATATTTCCAACTGTTTTGATGTCATTGGCATAGCATAGTGAAATCTAATATCAAGAAATACAGTATATAGTATTCTAGTTGTTTTCTTTGCTAACTCTTTGAGAGTTGGGTGAATTGATTTCTTGATAATTACACCTGAAAGAAAATTTCACCAGGTGAACGGTCAGGAATTTTATACACATAAAAATCTCATGCGACTTTGTGTACTTTTTCTGACGCAGTTGGCAAGGTCTCTTGGAAATACCCTAACAGGCCTTTTGTATTATATATTTAAAAAAAATTTTTCTCATATAATTGTATATATAAGAAATATATTTTTGTCTATACCATTGTCGATAGATTATTTAAGAAATCACTGTCTAGTTTGTTTGGTATTCCAGGGCATTAACGATAGTTAGATACGTCTGATAATTAATTTTACATAACGTGCTAAGCCTGTGTGCATAAATTATCCCACAGTTCCAACTGTCGATGATGTCCCTGGCATAGCCAACAAACTTGACAGAGATTCCTTATAATCATTTCGAACATATTTTATTGACAATATTTTAATGTGTCAAAACGATTCCTTATTATATTTTCATTTATATATGATGAAAACTTGTAAATATCAATTTTAGAAATGCTGGTTGATAGACATAGAATACACGGTCTGCAAGGTTAACTTCAATATTTCCCATCTACTGAATTCACAAACACAGAAAGCTGCAGGGGATTGACCTGCATATCTGGCATTTGGTTTTTCACTGATCTAAATTCACATTTAAATAGCTTTATTTATCAAGAACATCAACTCATTTAACTTTCAAAAAGTTATCACATTAAAAAACAATCAGAGATATGAATATATTAAATAAATTTCATACAAAATTTGTCTTAAAGTTATATATCATGTAAAATATTGTTATGCTTCCTCTCAGATTATCTTTAAAATCACTACCCAACTTTTTTCGCATAGTATACAAACGATTTATAGCGTAAACGTACAAAACTGAAATGATGCAAGGCTTCATTTTCTGAAGAAAATTAGACACACCTATTCCAGGGATCAAACTCATGACCCTGAGATTGTCAGTTCGACGCGCTACAGATTCAGCTATTTCTATTTGTATATATAATAAGTTTAAATATTTGAAAAATTGGAAACAAAAAAGAAATATTCTTTTCTTGATTTTTTTTTGCAACATGTTTTTTCTTCACTCAGCTTAAATGCTCTGAAACTATCAATGCATTATACCTTATTGCATAAAACACTTAATTATAAGCACTATTATATAAATAGATCAGTGTTAATTTATCAAATCGACATGATAAAAAGAAAATGATATTTATATTTTGATCAGTATAATTTTAACTTTATGCTATTTTTTTTTTCTACAGAGTGTTCTGTTGGATAATTACAACAACGATTGTTATCATCTGTTCGGTAAGTAGACAATTGGAACTATATTTTAATGTTGAAACCGATTCATCCTAGCCACGATTATCTTTCTGGACAACACGATTGCTAATCCAAAATCTTCACCCTCAGGAGATGTACATATAATTAAGCGTATTGGAAAGTAAAAATCTAGAAACATAATGTGAATTTGCATAAAGTCAGCGAAGTTAACTTAAGGAAATTTCAATGTTTTATTTCATTAATATCTATTTCTTCATTTCAAGGTAATAATACTAAAACGTCAAAGACAGGCTAGCAAGAACAAGAACGAAAAAACCGAAAATCTAATCCCAGAGCCAGAAACAAATACTCAAATCAATGAACAAAACAAAAATCCAGAAGCACAACAAAAGCAATGATCAAAACACCGAAGTAACAAACAACCCCCCCCCCCAAAAAAAAAAAAATCAATGTTCGGAAGCTTCATTATTCTTTGGAGTCTCGAAAGTTCTGCACCGGATTGATCACAAATAAAACATTTATATAGAAAAGATAAAATAATACATGTATGTAAATTCTTCTATTGTAAAATTCTGTCTATTAATTTAGGATATCCACGTGTTTTAATCTTTATATATTGTATCTTGATAGATCTTGGACCCAAAGTCTGCCTTTTTGTGTTCTTTAGTAATATATTTCCTATGTATTCTACAAACTTTGTCTTTTTATAGGCTTAATATGATCATACCTTAGACTATTTAGTAAGGTATGTTGATATCGACATCTGCTTTTGCTTGTGTGTTTTGCAGAACTAGCACGTATTTTTTTATTTCATTGATAAGCTACAGTAGAATAAATGCCTATTTTCAAATTCTATGCACTCTTGACTCTTTTTATGAGGAAACAAAATAATCAAACGGTAAGGAAAGTATGCAACTAGTAATCGTAGTAACCTGACCTCAAATATTTCCTTTTTGGTCAACGTTCCTAGCTTTATAATAATTCTAGTCAGGTTTAATGTTTTTCTAGTGAATTTATGAACATCTTGAAATGCTTAAGATTTTGAACTCGTCTGCGGGTGTTAAAACTGATCAACACACAGATTTCTTTATCATTTGTAATTTATCTGTGGCACAAATATAAGCAAAGGGACAATATTCTGCCCTTTAATGAGCGGATTTTCAAGAAAACCACTTCAGTGTTTAGAAATAAATTGTATAACAAACTAATAAGTCCGTCTGAAATACTGTTTGGGCGCAGATCAAACGCAGACCGAGTTTGATTTACGTGTGATGGAGAAATAAGCACCCCATAATAAGAGTATTAGTACAAGTGTTTAATCATAGATAATTTGAACTATGGAGATAACGGATCAGTCAAAACACTGTTAAAAGTCCATTAGAAAAATGCAAATCTGTCGCATAGCAAACATGGACCGTTAAAGACATGATGAATGACTAAGAATTTTGTGTCGAACAGTCACACCCACCATGTGGTCCTTATCATGATGGGCAAACAGAAATTATATCAAGATGGCGTAAGGATAAAGTGGAAGATAAGAAGCTAGATTAAAAATCATGCTCGAGCTGCATAATAATACAGTGCCTGATTACTTAAAGGATATACTGTACTTTCAGATATGCGCTGCGACACATCTTTTTATTTGATAAGAAATTCTCAAAATTATATTCCGAGTAAGGTACGACAAATCAGCCTTAGCATAAATAATTGTTCATATATACACTTCATTCCGTTAAATTATTTTAATTTATAAGCTCAGATACGCCATGTGTAGAAGTAGCTTTAACACTTTTCCTTGTAATAACGGATCTCGCTAGCTACAGATCTGTATACAGCCCTTTTCCTGCTGAAAGCTGAGTTTCTCTGACTTATCTGACTCTTTGTTGCCGAGAAGGACCATGTGAAGTGTTGAGGGACATCTCCATCTGATGCTTGTTTAAGAGAAAATCCAATCTATTTTAATGAGTGAAGTGCATGAGTATAGATATAAACTAATAATCCAGGGTTTGTAAAAATCATATACATCAATAAGAGAAAGACCGAATCATGCCTATAGATCAGTATAGAAAAACCAAAGAAAAATTCTAATATGTTCGTTTATTTATTCACCATTCTAGGGACCCCAGTGCTGTGTACAATTAAAAACAAAATAATCATGACGACAACAGGTACATGTAATGGCTCTATTAGGTGCAATATTGACCTTATTTACACTTGCAAATCTTCTTACTAATAATCAAATTACTAGCAATATTCACATTAAAATATAATTTTTTTGACACCAGTCCATGCAGTATTTCTGTTGAATATGTAAATTTTACTATGTAATTAATATATAATCATTTTCAAAACCCGTTGGAACAATACTTAAAACACGGATTTCCGTGCAAATTCAAGTAAAGAACTATATGAGGTATATTGCATATATTTGCCCCCACAAAAGCCAAATTCTTGAAATGCTCTGAATTCTTTAAATTGTATGAGAAATATAAAATAATAGAACATATTATACTTTCAAAGAAGTTTATTGACAATTTGTGTTTATATGACGTCACAAAGTAGACCGATTTTATATCATTTTTTTTAGAAAGGAGGACAAAATGGACAAAATTTCAACAATTTTAGCTTTAAAAGTTATAGAGCGCAAGTTTGCTCAGAAACAATATTTACATATATCGTTGTTAGATTTGGGGGGCAAATATTGGTTATTACCGAATAAAGTTCTTTGTTTTAATGAATTATCTTGGTGTTATGATAGGGCATTAATCAAATATGAAATTATTCTGCTTTGGAATATATAGAGGATCTTTCAAAATCTTTGTGTCGACAAGGACCCTGCGCAATGTTCATAAAACTAAAGAAACAGCACCGTCATCGTTCATTCACAGAAGTGTTTTCTGACCACTATTTCCCTACGAAAAGGTATATTCAAACCCGGGGCACGTGACATGTATAAAATTTCGCATTGCGAACTACGTTCCAAACTCCGATTGTCCTCATGTGAAAGACCCGTAACAACACTAAAATTGCTACCTTATTAGTTTGTCGCGGTCGAGCGCAAATGTGAATGTTGTTAGATATAGTTGAGTGTCAAGACAATCAAACATTTGAATTTCTCCCTTCCCTACGGCTAATTTGTATTTTTCTTTTTAGACAGATACGTTATCAAGCAGTTATTTTTGTCCAGTCGTACAACACTCTATGGTCAAAATAAAAAATAATAGGAGGTTTAAGATCAATTATTGAAATCTGACTATATAAACGAACATGTAAAAAGCTAGTAGAATTCATAAATTTTCTCAGATTTTGCAATACACTTTTATGAAGATCTGATATATACATGTAATGTGAATATACTCATTTTATGGAAAAGGAACGAATATTTGAACTTTACTGTTCGTCTGTCTGTAAAATAAATACACACTTAACCAACCCCTTCCCTCTAAATATGGAATATGACCAAAATCCGATTTTTGTGGCTCACAAGTAATAGTTTCGTGTAACATTAGTCATAAGAAATTTTGAATATTGTACTGAAAAAGACATGTTCTGTTCTTGAAGCATATTATCTATATATATGACGCTTCAAACACATTTATTAAACTTCTTTTTTTTTTTGTTCATAATAAAGGACAGTTTTATTAAAGGTTCTCATATTATGACACATATTCTCGATGTTTATAGACTTTGGACATTTAAGGTTCTTTTAGGGATATTCAATCCCAATTCAGGATTTTTTTTTCATGCAGCAATTTTCATTTTCTGTGGGTTGTTTTGATTCAATGCTATTTGAAGTTCTTAGAGTCTGGCTTATAAAAAAGTATTTAAAAACATACCTAGAAAAATCGAACCTAGCCTTAGATCACTATGTTTATAAACTTGATTTGGATTTAGAATTAATTCATGGTGTTTTGTAATGATAGGAAACACTTAATACACTATGCTTTATGAAAGGTTTGAAGTAAAAAGATGAAACCTAACTACCGTATAAATCTTCAAAAGGCTGTTTACCTATGACTTTCAACCAAATGACTTGTGTATTTGTTGATATATCTTTCAATTAGAAAATGCATCTCGTATATATGTTTTTATTCAAATTTCTTAATTTTTTTTTTTTTTAGAGATTTACTAATTTCTTATATAATATTATTAACTTTTAAGATTATTTTGAAGAATTATCTCAGGTAAATATACTTTAGACCATTTTAAAAATATGTTTCCATGCCCCCTTCCGACTGATTTTCAGAACCTAAGGATCAGACTACTTTAAGGGTAACAATTGTTGTTTTGTACAACAGTTATCAAGATGCTAAAACTCTTGATGCTTTTAGTATTCGCATACAATTTGCAAAAAAAAGTTTTTGGTGATTTATGTCTATGATATGAAAGGTCATACTGAAGGGTGATAAAGTATGTATTCTTCGTACGACTAACCATGCTGTGATAATTTTCCAAATGATATTTCAAAAAAATTATACATATCTGCATATGAGGATTTAAATACATTACACGACGTATTTTTTTCACATGCATTTTGTTTTTTTACTGGCCAAAACCCCTTTAAAAAAAAAAAATGTATTTTAATGTACTGGAGCTCAGTTCCCTACAAATTTTTGATTCGATTTTGCATGTCATCTATTTTTCATGTGTGGATAAGGAGATTAAAATTTTTGCAAAGTTTTGGCATAAAAATAAAGAAATATATATTCTTGGCAATATTTAAGGAAGAAAATAAGCCAGGAATAGGAAATTCTTTTGAAATATATCATGTTGAAAAAAGTGGTTTCGTCTTTACATCCGCGTTGTCTTGCAATAAAAGACCACTTCAGTTGCAGGCGTTTACACACTGAAAACGAATTTCTTTCTGTCATAATGTACAGCAAGTTTATTTGGTTCCTGTTTTGTTTTTTGCTAAAACAAAAAGAGTAAGTAGCATTTGATGAATTTAATTGATTTAAAATTTATAAAATGTTTTGGGGTAAAAATTAACAATTATTATAAATTCTCTCTCCCCCTATCTCTCTCTCTCATATGCTTACTATTTGGCAAGATCAAAATGAAATGAATCAATTCAAAAAGAATTCATTTATAACTGAAATTAAATAATTTATATCAACACGATTTAAGCTATTTATTTTTGTGTTTATTCCTAATATATGTAGTGTTTATTCAGCCCATGTGCTTAAATTTAATTTTAATCGTTATTAGTCGTATGAATTTAACATGAGGCAATGCAAGTAAATTATATCTGTCGGCTGCATTTCAAGCCTTGGAATACTCCGTCATAGATGTGTTTGCGCTGGGTTTGCGCTATTGCGTTTCATAAAATAAACTGGCGTGTAGCGTTGTCGTGCATGCCTTAATAAATTATCAAAGATTAAAATCATTTCTTTACTGAGCAAAAAATATTAATTGGAATTCTAAGTAAAGCATACAATTATTCTAAATAAAATAATTTCAGACTATTTGGAAGTATATCAATTATTTCAATCATTAAATTATCACTAATCAAAAAGCATTTTAATATAACGGATTGGAATGTTTAGGGTTGAAATTAATTGAAATTTGTAATTGAATTAATTCCCCTGTATGCTGTTTTTTTTCACAATGTTGATGCTTTAGGATTTAAATAATCGATGTATTACACACAAAAAGCCTCTCTCT